AACTAATACTAGTGTACAAAGTGTTAGTGCTCGTATTCACAATTTCATTTCAAAGCATAAATTCATAAAAAAAATCAATTTGTATCCATAATTTAAACACATTGAACATTGCATGAAAATCATCACTATTTTTATACATGCTTTTCCCCCAAAAACGCGAAAATAGTAAAAAGGGGATGTGAAAACTCACTCTTTTGCAAAGCTCCGCAAATTAAAGATACGATCTGGTCACCACACGAGCTTAACGATTCCCTGTCAAAGAGGAATATCCAAAACTGTCACTTATGGGTTTAAAACTACTTATGGGGATTAATAAGTCCTAAGTCCATAAGTGTCTACTTATGTCCAACTTGATTATCTATAGTCCAAATATACATAATGTTCATATGCTCGTTAATATATTAATTTATACCGGAATTAATGTTATAATCCAATAAATGATCAAAACTTTACAAAATCAAATAATCCCAAAATCTCATTTTTGGGCAGAAACTAACGATACATAAAATGATCAATTTAAAGGGACTTGCAAAATGAGATAGTTTCCTATATTTTTATATGAGATATAGCACTGAGTTATGGTCATTGTGACCAAATTTCATGCATTTTGGACACGCAATAATGATTTAAATAATTTATGCAATACAATATATCACAACTGATATGACAGATTACACCACGTTAGTAAAATACTCATTTAAAGAGTTCTACTAAGTGTTCTGCAGAAATTCAAGTTGGATTATAAACTTAACACTTAAATGAAACTTCTTAACTAAGAATCACTCATTTTGGATGAGTTGAGAGGAAGATATGGAACCATAAAGTTACAAGCACACATCTGTCATTAGTTGACAGATTGCACACTTAACTTAATTAAATTGGTTAATGACACAAAACTTGGTATTTTTGAGTGAAACTAGGTTCATATGAACCCTAACTCATAAAAGAACATTTCAGAAGAAGAATCATACACAAAGAGCAAGTAAATAAAGAGATATTAGCATACAAAGTAGGAGTTACCTACTGGTGGTTTCACAGTTTGCACACCTAAAGTGTTTTAGGTGTTTGGAGAACAAAACTCCATATTTTCATGTGATTCCACTTGCATGCAGAAGAGGACTCATATAGTTAACTCTCTCATTGAAACCTACATACACAAATCTGCTAGATTCAGACAGATTGCATGCTCACTTTGTTTTGAGTAGTTAAAACCTCAAATCACCACATTTTTGAATGAAATCAGTGAAATTTGAAAGGTAACTCATTAATTTAACTTCCAGAAGAAAAATCAATGATTTTGAATGATTATCTAGAGAGTTATGGTCGTTTAAAGTAGGGTTTACCCACTGAAAAACTCTCAGATGCATATAAATAATGTTTTGAGTATTTGGGGAGTCAAAACTCAATGTTTTTGAGTGAGAACAATTGGATTACAACCCCAACTCAATAAATAAACTTTTAGAAGAAGATTCATAACATTTGAACATATTATTATCAAGATATGGACGATTTATGCACATGCACATAATCTGTCAGCACCTAAAATGTCATTTTTTTAGGAATCAAACCCACATGCAACATGATTTTAACTATTTTCTTGAGTTCTAATGTTTGGGTCATAGATTACCACCATCATATGAACAGTTTTACATGTTTTTGGTGTATAATCTCTCCTTAAAACTCAGAAATTTTCGGAGGTTAGAAGAAGGTAGTTTAAAATGCATAAAAAGTGGGTTTTTCTCCCAAAATATGCAAGAAAAGATGAAGATGGATTTGTCACCTTGATTTATGATGAGAGGAATGTAATATCTTCAAAATCCTTGATATTTTGATGGAGAAATATGGAGAAATTGGTTGGAGTTGGAAGGATGAAGAAGATGATTCTTAGGTGACTCTTGAGTTTAGAGAGAGAGAGGGAGAGGAGTTTCAAAATTTGAAATGAGAAAATGAGTTGTAATTGGAGAAATGATTATATTTATATGTGGATAATAGGAGGGGGGGGCATGGGGGCCCAAGCCCAATATATATATATATATATATATTTTAACATTAAGCCCAAAAATGCTAGAATGTCATTTTTCTCAAACTATAAACCCATGATGGCTAAATTCATTTAAATAAAAAGGTTTTATATTTAAAACACTAAAACTTTGGGTTTTATATTTAAAACACTAAAACTTTGTGTTTTATATAAATTGGGTATAAATTGGAGCATTTGGCACTGTATAGGACGTTTCAGATAGTTACGGRTMRGAACCGGACTTTCTAAGCAACTACCGGAAACTCTAGAAATTTTTCGGCCAAACTAATCTAACTAACTCCTAATCTTATAAATTATCTTCAATAACAACTAATATAATATTAATAAGAGCTAACCTGAAAGTTCAAATTTGACAGTTGTCACAGTCTCCCCCTGTTAGAGAAATTTCGTCCCGAAATTTAACAACTGCTACTGCCAATGGATTTCTCTGCAAACAAATGCAGATATTTGTCTCTCATGAAATCTTCTCGCTCCCAAGTGTACTCTGGACCATGATTCGCATTCCAGCGGACCTTAATAATAGGGATTTTTTTGCTCCTCAACCGTTTAACTTCTCGGTCCAGTATCTCGATTGGTTCTTCAATGAAGTGTAACCGATCGCTAATCTGGACGTCGTCCAGGGGTAACACTATTGTTTCATCCGTTAAGCATTTCTTCAGATTCGACACATGGAACGTGTCATGGATGGCGCTTAGATTTTGTSGTAACTTCAACTTGTACGCCACTGGTCTGATTCTTTCGAGTATTTCAAATGGACCAATGTATCTGGGACCCAGCTTTCCTCTCTTCCTGAAACGTACTAGTCCCTTCCATGGAGATATCTTTAAAAGTACTTTATCCCTCACTTGGAATTCTAACGGCTTTCTCCGATTATCCGCATAACTCTTCTGACGGTCTCTTGCTGTCTTGAGTCTCTCCTTGATGATTGAAATCTTGTTGGTGGTTTCCTGAATAATATCGGGCGTTGTCAACAGTCTATCTCCGATCTCTACCCAGCTAAGCAGCGATCTGCATTTACGTTCGTATAGAGCTTCGTACGGTGCACATTGTATGCTGGTGTGATAGCTGTTGTTATAAGAGAATTCAACAAGGGGCAGATGGGTATCCCAACTCCCACCAAAATCTATTGCACATGCACGCAACATTTCCTCAAACATTTGAATAGTTCTTTCCGATTGTCCATTTGTTTGAGGATGATAGGCGGTGTTATAATCCAAGCGCGTACCCAACGCCTTTTGAAGAGACTGCCAAAATCGTGATGTAAAACGTGTATCTCTATCCAAAATAATGGAAATAGGCACA